TTAATCAACACCAAACCGGTACTACATGAAATGTTGAACCGTCTTCTTGAAGGAGAAGAATAAAAATATGAACACTAAAATGGCAATAAATACATATCTATCAACAATGGAATTTACAAACAAAATGAGCAAGCAGAACGGAAACATACTCACAGATACAGAGAACTTTTTGTTCCTTGCCAAATGAGAGGGAGCTGGAGGGATGGGTAAAAAAGATTAAGGAATTAAGAGGTACAAATTGGTTGTTAGACTGATGAACCTCAAAGGGAAGGGGGAAGGGAGGGTTGGAAGAGATAAAACAAAGAACTTCTAGGCGTATATGCATAACCAATGGACACAAACAATAGTGTGGGAAGGTAGGAGGGAGGGGGGGTTGGGGAGGAGGGGGGTCACTGGGGGACGAACAGGGGGCCATCTGTAATACATCCAACAATAAAGGTAAGTTTTTAAAGATTTTTACAAATAAAAACCACTAGAGCCCTCATAAAATAAATTATGTGTAATTGGACTTCTGATACTAAGATGATAAAATTTACATAGAAAGCTTTAGACAAAGAGAAGCTGATCTTTCTCACCCAAAAGGTTTTTGTTTTAAATCTACCAAAGTACAGAACTGATTCCGGCCTTTTAAAAATCCTACAAAATATCATACAGCAAACCTGTGGGACTTTTACAGAGGAAATGAGAAGAAACAAAATTAAATCAATGCCATCAATTGCTAATAGGTACATGACATCTTATATCAACCTGTGTTCTTAGCAGCACGTAGAATACGCTGCCTTCAGTCAGAATGAATTTGTATTTTTCCAAAAGAAGAATCACTAAACTCTTTAGTAAAGCATACTACAGGCAAATTGAAAACTCATGTACTCTCTTAAAATTCAATGTCTCCATATACTAAATTGATACAAAAATTCAAGCTGTCAAATGACAAAACTTACCATTATCTTTAACTTTAAAAAAAAGTTTATCAATACCATAAGTGCATTATTTTTAATATTTTATAAATAATAAGATATATATTACTATTTTATTATTGGCACTATTACAGATGCCCCCCATTGCCCCTACCTTTGCCTCCCTCCACTCAGCTCCCACCTCACCCTAGGCCTTCCCCACACTATTGTCTGTGTCCATGGGTTATGCATATATGCATAAATGTTCTTTGGTTAATCTCTTCCTGTCCCCTCTCCACTCCCCCCTCCCTTCTGAGATCTGTTATTTTGCTTCATGCACCCATGCCTCTGGACCTATTTTGTTCATTAGATTCCACATTAAAGTGAGATAATGTAGTATTTGTCTTTAACTGGTTTATTTCACTCAGCATAATAATACAGCAACATAATAAAGGTCATATATTACAAATACAGCCAACATCATACTAATGGGGCAAAAACTAAAAGCAGTTCCCTTAAGATCAGGAACAAGACAGGGATGCCTGCTTTCACCACTCTTATTCAACACAGTACTGAAAAGTCCTAGCCACAGAGATCAGACAAGAAAAAATAAAAGGCATCCAAACTGGAAAGGAGAAAGTAAAACTGTCATTATTCACAGATGACATGATATTGTACATAGAAAACTCTAAAGACTCCACTTGGTTTTGTTTTTGTTTTTGTTTTTTTATCAAAACTGCTAGATTTGATAAATGAATTCGGCATAGTAACAAGATATAAAATTAACATCAAGGAACCAACAGCATTTTTATACATCAATAATGAAATCTCAATAACAGCAATTAGAAAAGAAAAAAAAAGAAAATCCCATTTACCACTGCAACAACAACAAAAATAATAAGATACTTGGGAATAAACTTAACCAAGGAGGTAAAAGACCTATACTTGGGAAACTATAGGACATTGAAAAAAGAAACAAAGGAAGATACAAACAAGTGGAAGCATATACTATGTTCATGAATTGGAAGAATTAACATTATTAAAATGTCCGTATTACCCAAAGCAATCCACAGATTCAATGCAATCCCTATTAAAATACCAACAGCCGCCATGGCTGGTTTGCTCAGTGGTTAGAACATTTGCCCATGCACCAAAGGGTTACGGGCTTGATTACCAGTCAAGGGCACTTAATGGTTGCATGTTCAATCCCCGGCTCTGGTTGGGGTCTTGTGGAAGGCAATCAAATCAATGTATCTCTCTCACATTGATGTTTCTTATTCACTCTCTGTGTCTGTCTGTCTGTCTCTCTCTCTCTCTTCCCCACTCCCTCCCTCCCTTCCACTCTATCTAAAAAATAATGGAAAAAAATATATTCCTGGGTGAGGATCAACAAAAATAAATAAATAAATAAATAAATAAATAAATAAATAAATGGGGGGGGGGGCAGGATTGGCAGGAGGGTGTCAATGGGGGAAAAAGGAGAAACATCTGTAATAAAAATAAATTAATAAAATACCAACAGGATATTTCACAGATCTAGGACAAATACTCCAAAAATTCATATGGAACAAAAAAGACTCTGAATAGCCTCAGCAATCTTGAGAAAAAAGAACAGAGTTGGAGGGATCACAATACCGTATATATCAAAGTAAACTACCAATCCATTGTAACCAAAACAGCCTGGTACTGACACAAGAACAGGCATATAGATCAACAGAACAGAACAGAGACCCCAGAAATCAACCCAAGCCAATATGGTCAATCAATATTTGACAAAGGAGGCAAAGAACATACAATGGAGTATACATAGATAGTATCTCCAATAAACGGAGTTGGGAAAACAGGACAGGTACATGCAAAAAAGGAAACTAGACTACCAACTTACACCATACATAAGAATAAACTCAAGCCATGGCTGGTGTGGCTTGGTCATCCTGTGCATCAAAAGGTCGCCAGTTCGATTCCTGGTCAGGGCACACGCCCAGGTTGTGGGTTTGATCTCTGGTATGTTGTGTGTGCGGGAGCAACCAACTGATATGTCCTCCTCCCTTTGTCCCTCTCCTTTCCTCTCTCTAAAAATCAATAAAAATATATTAAAAAATAAACTCAAACTGGATAAAAGGTAAGTCACAAAACCATAAAAATACTAGAAGAAACCATAGGCAGTAAAATCTAAAACATCTGACGTAGTAGTATTTTCACCAGTATATATCCTAGGGCAAGAGAAACAAAGGAAAAATAAACAAACAAAGGGGACTACATCAAGCTATAATTATTTTTAGAAAACAAGATAAAAATCACATTCCCCAAAATAAAAATATTTGCATTTTCAAATCTGAAGAAAAAAGATATTTGTATATTTTAAATGAGCTTCAAAATATATATTTAAAAATGTATTTGAATAAATCTGCTATTCTCCTTGCTTAACCCACATATGAAGTTTGTAAGGGTAAGATGTTTTACTAAAATTTAGAAAAATCAACTTGGAATTTATACAAAATGATAAAGTTATGTTCTATGTTACAGACCAATACAGAGTATCAAGTCAATATGGAAAATAGTTAAAAGGCCTTGAAACATTTAATAGACTTGACTGTGGACCACTATAACTGTGACAACTGTCACAGGGTTGTGACAACTGTTGGGAAAAAAAAGAGTAAAATTGTATCTTTGTGGAATTTCCATTGGTGTTTAAAAGCTATTAACATTTTTGGTTACTTAGAGAAAATAATGTCAGGAAAAAATACTTTACTATCACCTTAAATCTTCTAGCCCCAGAATAAAATTTACTATATTTCTATAAACAGTGTTGCTATTTACATGTAAACGTAAAAATGATGTTTTAAAATGGTTGTATTATAGTATGATAATCTCAAAGATAACAGTCAAACAAGCTAAATTAGAGGACAACACAAAGAACACACAAACACACAGAAAATATAAATACCTGATGTGTTATATTATCAACTAAAGAGTTTTCCATTACTGCATTAAACTTAAATGCAGTGTATCTGTAAGGAAATTTAAAAGTACACACATTTGGCTTCCTTTTCTGTATTTCTTTTTGAAATTATATCAAGTAATCAACAACACTCTCTTTTAATGTTTTTTTGTTTTTTTTTTAATCCTCACAGGAGGACATTTTTGCATTTATCTTCAGATTAAGCAGGAGGGAGAGACGGGGCAAGAGAGAGAAAGAAACATAGGACGTGAGAGAGACATATCAACTGGTCGCCACCCACACGACCCCAACAAGGACCTGGGACAAACTACAACCAAAGTACGTGCCCTTAGCGGAAACCGAACCCAGGTTTCTCTGGTCTGCAGGCCGACACTCTAACCGCTGAGCCAAACCGGCCAGGGCAACAACCCTCTCTGATACCACCTCTTACTTAACTGGACAACAAAAACAAACTTCAGCCCTGGCTGGTTTTGCTCAGTGGTTAGAGCATCGGCCTGAGGTCCAGAGAGACCCGGGTTCGGTTTTCGCTAAGGGCATGTACCTCAGTTGCAGTTTGTCCCCTACCCTGGTTGGGTCACACAGGAGGCAGCCACTCGATGTGTCCCTTTCACGTGATGTTTCTCTCTCTCTTTCTCTTCCTCTCTCTCCCTCCCACTCTATCTGAACAAAAAAAAAAAAAAAAAAAAAAGGAAAAATGTTCTCAGGTGAGGATTAAAAAACAAACAAAAAAAACTTCAGCAGCCCTGGCAGGTTTGGCTCAGCGGCTGGAGTGTCGGCCCCCAGACCAAAGAGGCCCAGGTTTGGTTCCCGCTAAGGGCTCGTACTTCAGTTGCAGTTCATCCCTGGCCCCGGTTGGGGTTGTGTGAGTGGCGGCCACTCGATGTCTCTCTCTCACGTCGATGTTTCTCTCTCTCCCTCCCAATCTATCTCAAGATAAATGCAAAAATGTCCTTGGGTGAGGGTAAAAAAAACTTCAGCATATATTTTAAATGAAAGATTTCACCATACATGTATGTGTATACATGTAAAAATATCTGAGATACTGTTGAGCAATTACTATGTACTTTGCTCTGGGAATACAATGATCAACAGAGAGAGACTTAAATAGAAGCAAACACTTTAAAAAATGTAGTATTACTCACACTCTCGGCCTTAACAACATCTTCTTAGAAACCTCTGTGCCATGAGAGACAAGTAGAGGAAGAAAAAAATGCGCAGGTTGAAGTGAAAAGAAAGATGAGGCAGAAGTCCAAGTAAACCGGATAGACTGTGCACCTGTGGAAGCCACAGGAGCAGAAATAAGGCAAGCCAGGGGCCAGGGACACTGGTATAAATTGTTAAACTGTATGCTTGCTGTCTAGAACCTCTTGATAGATCTAGAACACACACGCATCCGTGAATGCCTTCTGAGAGAACTGCCCTGCTCTTACAAAAGCAGTCCCTTCTGGTCCTTTGCCCTGGACCTGTGACATTATATACTGGTTCTATTCTCAGTTGTGGCTGAATGTAACATGTGTATAATAAATCATCTCTTCTGCCTTAGCTAAAGAAAAAACATTTTATTACTAACTAGGTTAATATAAATATATAAGTACGCACCTTCTCTAGGGTCACCTTCTATTTCATTTGTCTATTTAAGAGATAATTCATTTTTGGGTTCCACTCAGTCAAGTCCTAGTACTCTGACAAGGAGAACTAGGCAACCAAAGATTAGCAATGAAGATAGAAAGGAAAAGACAGAGCTAGATGTTATTTAGGAGACAGAGACAGGACCTGTGGTACTGAATATGGGGAATAAGGGAAGAGAATGAATGACTCTCAGTTTTCAGACTTAAACATGTATCATTAACCAAGGTACAGAAGATGAAGGAGGTGAGGGACATTTGAGATAAGGATGCTAATAGGCTGAGTTCAAGGGGCCTAACATAACTGTAGAAAGATGTCCAATAAATTGATGAAAAACAGTGATATAGAGTGCAGGAGAAAGGCTGAGACTAGAATTCTAAACACAGGAGTTACTGACACATTGTTGGTAATAAAATCATTAAGGGAGAACATATTAATTGAAAAGAGAAAGGGAAGTGAAGGACCAATACACTAGAATTTTAGGACACAGCAATATTTTAAGGACAGAGAGAAGAGAAGCAGAGGAGCTAGGGAACATCAGTAAAGAGAGAGCACCAGAGCCCTGGCCAGTGTGGCTCAATTGGCTGGATGTCATGTGTACCAGTAGGTTGAGGGTTCAATTCCCAGTCAAGGCACATGCCCAGGTAGCGGGCTTGATCTCTGGTAGGGGGCTTGCGGGAGGCAGCCAATCGATGCTGCACTCTCACATTGATGTTTCTCCTTCTGTCCCTCTCCCTCTCAAAAAAGTCATAACTGTACTTAAAAAAAAAAAAAAAAAAAAAAAATATTTAAGGGCTCAAAGAGCCAAATAAGATATAAGAATAAAACTCAGTCTTGAAAAATTAAGAATACTGTATAAATTGATAATGCTTTTAGAAAGTATTCAAAAGTATCCAGAAGTAATCCTGAGTAACTGAGAAGAAAGCAAAATACCTATATGCACAAAAAAGTTTTATTGCAATACTTATGATAGGAGGGAAAACCTCAGACACAACCTAAATATCTGACAATCAGGAAAATTATGTTTTTGATGGATTATATAACCATTGTCATAGTGTTGAAAAAAGAGAATATATTAAACAAATTTTATTACTTGAGGGCATTTACAGAGTCCAATAACCATGAGAAATTCACATTAAAAATACAATCAGCATTTAATTTTTTTAATTATTAAAAATTAAAAACTTTAAAAAAATCTGACAAAGTGGGTAGATTGGGTTTTGAAAACATCTACACTTCACCAAGAACAGGCCAACAACAATTACATTTTAGATATAATTCACAGAAACAGTAGCTTCCAAGAGTACTTACAGTATTTTTACACTAAAAGAGAATATAAGGTAGCTACTCTTATTGAATCAGCAGCTTATGACATTTTGGTCATAAATAAATAAAAATGGTGTGGAAAACTTCAACACCCTTTCTGCCAAAGAAAGTACTGGTCTTATTTGTACTAAGTGTTTTATATTTTTATCAGTTTCATTAATTCAGCTCACATGACACCATTTCCTGCCTTAATTTCTGGAATATTGTCCCAATTCTTTTCTCTCAGGCCTTGTTGCTAGGGCTGCAGCTGCACAATCAATTCTTATTAAAATGTAAGTCTCTGACCCTGGTCTGTTTGGTTCGGAGGTTAGAGCAGCGGCCTGCGGTCCAGAGAGACCTGGGTTCAATTCCCACTAAGGGCACAAACCTCGGTTGCAGTTTGTCCCTGGCCCTGGTTGGGTTGTGCGGGTGGCAACCACTCGATGTGTTCCTTTCACATCGATGTTTCTCTCTCCCTCTCTCTCTCCCTCCCCCTCCCACTTTATCTGAACAACAAAAAAAGGAAAAATGTCCTCGGGTGAGGATAGAAAAAACAATAAATAAATAAATAAATAAATAAATAAATAAATAAATAAATAAATAAATAAATAAAAAAAATGTAAGTCTTTGAAATGAAGGTCTATGGAAAGGGATACAAAAGATTTCATTATCTCAAACCTCACAGTAAGGATTAAACCCTCACCCTTCCCAAACCACACCAACACTCGCACCGTTTTTCACTTAACACTTTATCTTGGGACTCAGGTAATGTCAATAATTTTTAAAAACTGCCTCCCTCAATTTTTAACGGCTGTTTTATCACATGGATATAACTTGTTTTGAATAGACGGGAAGTTGAGTTGTTTCTAATCTTTTACTACCAGAAACATGCTGCAAAGAATAATCTTATATATTCACACAAGTGGAATATCAAGAAATGAACGCAAATTTACAGAACTTATCTATAGGATAAATTTCCAAAAGTGAAACTGATGGATTAAAGGGTTTGTACATTTAAGTGATCTGGTAGGCATTTTAAAATGTGAGAGATATTTTTCAAATCTCCTTCTAAGATAATATACCAACTGAAAGAAAACAGTTCAAAGTCCTGTTAAGTGACAGGCAAAAACATGAACCTAAGAAAAGAACCCACTCTAACAATGGCCAGCTCAGTCTCAGCAGACACATCTTAGTCCGAGGCCTCTGTTAAGTCTCAAATTTCTTTGCCCAGAAATCTATTCTTATTCCATAGTTTTTAAGTCAAATAGCTTTGCTCATATCAGCATCACAGTCATGACTTTTTTCTTTAAAAATTTTTAAAACTGATTTTTAGAAAGAGAAGAAGAGAGAGAGGAACATCAATGTGAGAGCGCAACATCAATCAGCTGTCTCCTACAGACCCCACCAGTGGAGATCAAGCCCACAACCCAGGCATGTACCCCTACTGAACCAACAATTCTTCAGTGCACAGGATGATGCCTAACCAACTGAGGCACACCAGCCAGCGTTCACAGTAATGATTTTTAACCAAATTACCTCAGCTGGCCTAAGACAGTAATTGTTTCCTTTTGGGTAGATAAATCTCCAACTCTGAGAAAATACAGTAATCATTATAGAAATCATAAAGTGAAGTGAAACCTACAGCAGTAATATTTTCGTGCTATTAAATATATTTATAACAATTTATTATAATGGTATTTTAGGCTCTACTTAAGATATGTGAAAGATAAGAACATTTGATATACTACATTTGTAAGTTTAATTTATTGGGCTTTAAGGAATTACTTATTTTATTTTTATTTTTTTATCCTCACCTGAGGACACTTTTCCATTTTAGTTCAGATAAAGTGTGTGTGTGTGGGGGGGGACGACACTGATGTAAAAGAGACATGTCAAGTGGCTGCCTCCCACATGACCCCAACCAGGGCCAGGGACCAACCGCAACCGAGGTACGTGACCTTGACCAGAATTGAACCCTCAATTCACTGGTCTGCAGATCAACACTCTAACAGCTGAGCCAAACCGGCCAGGGCAGAATTACTTGTTTTAGGGGAGATTTGTTTGCTTTACTGGTGAATCTGCTTTGTTAACTGCTTGAAACATTTGCAGGAATCAGAGAAATATAACTTAGAATGTCTAAAATTTAAGTACTTAGGCATATAAGTATTTGTCACTATTTAACAATATTTACTCTTTCTTATGTAGTGTTAAAACACAATGACAATATAGACAGCATCAAACTTTTAGTGAGTTTTATGGGTCAACTGTTTTTAAAAAGAACTACACCTAAAAAAAAGGGTAACCATACAAATGTGGTCTTGGGTGAAAATTTTCTATATACACCCTAAAATAAAAACATTTCACTTTAACATCATTCTCTATAGCATTTTTCAGTGAACATATACAGTAGGGCCTCAAATAACATAATTTCATTCAATATAATTTTGTTTTATCATGGATGAAAAATAAAATAAAATCAATTCCTGGCTGAGACCACTGTCAATGTGAAGATGGCATATTCTCTCCACGTCTGTATGGCTTTTCTCCAGGTTCTCGGATTCCTCTCACATCAAAAGATGTGCATGCGAGGTGAACTAGCATGTCAACATTGTCCCAGTCTGAGCGAGTGAATGAGTGAGGGAGGCACCCTGTGATGGAAGGGCCTCTTGTCCAGGATGGGTTCCCACCTTGTACCCTGAGCTTCCAGGAGAGGCTCTGGCCACCCACGACCCTGAACTGGAAGAAGAAAGTTGGAAAATAATCTTATTTGTTTTCATTAATCTTTCTGAAATGTATATATAGCTAATATTTCAATGTTTACTATTTGACATGTTTTGGGTATTTATTTAGAAGTTTGATGATGTTTCTGTGATCACAGATATGACAGCTTTTGTCAATTAGCCTATGGTAAAACTGGTTTTGTTCGTCATTTCACTAAAAGTTATAATTTCCAAGAACCTATCTACAACGTTAAGAGAGGACTTATTGTATATTATTGTATTGTATATTGTATATTATTGTATTGTATATTGTAAATATTATTTAATGGTACAAATAAAAATAAGTATCTTAAATGTGACTTCTTTCCAAAAAAGAAATAGGGTATTTTATAAAAACATGTCATCTGCCCATATAGCACACAAAAAGCAGAGCATTTTCTCATGCTGCCCAGAAAAACAGTCCTTAATCAAAACCACAGAAGGGCTGATTTTATGATTTCTTCATAGAAATCACGGCCTTTACAGTGATGACATACAGCAACAGCTACAATAAATTCCAGCTGCTGTGGTAAGGATTATTATATATACTATGATTAGCTGCTGAATGGGGCCAACATTAAGGCC